CCCGGTTAATTTTTGTATTTTTCATAGAGACAGGGTTTCACCATGTTGGTCAGGCTGGTCTTGAACTCCTGACCTCAGGTGATCCTCCCACCTTGGCCTCCCAAAGTGCTGAGATTACAGGCATGAGCCACCGCACCCGGCCTCTTTGTATAACTAAATATCATTTCACAGTGACCTGTGATACTATTTATTTGAGTATTTTAAACCTTTTGACATTTTTTACAACTTCACAAAATCAACTTCTAAATTAAGGTCTTTTGACCTTGAAATAACTTTGGAATGTTCCAAGGGTCCCTATATTATCTCAAAAGAATTTTTTTCCCTCCTTAGGGAAGATATTAAAATAATTAAGCTTATTTGGTAGGTTAAATTTGTATAGGAAGTATCATCAAATGAAAAGTGATGTTTTACCTTCTTTAAGTCATACATTTTTGGGTATATTTAGTACTAGTGTTCAAGAAATTATATAAAGTTCCTAGAAACCTGATAGTCCTGATGCCATAATATTAGTTATAATTTTAGTTATTATCTTAAAATATTGTACGTCTTGAAATAACAAAATTTCCTTGTCAGTATCATTATAATATGAATACCATTTTCTTTCTCCTAAGCTATCCGTTGCTTACAGCAATTTGATAAGTTATAATTTTGTACCAAGAATGTAAACATTTATCTTTTCTTCCTACTTGATCCCTGCAGAATTCAGAAACTATTAGTATTTTTATTTTCATGGCAATATGATTATTTGCATAAGTTCGGTAAGAATCTGTTCTCTTTGTACCAAGACACAATTGGAAACATTAGTCATATTACCAAAGCTTTGACTGAAGTGTCAGATTTTCAGATATAATCACACAATTTTTAGGAACTAAGGTTGACTCCATGGAGCCAATACGGCTCCTTGAAGGAAAAAGCTGGCCTTGTATCTTGTACACAAGATTCCCTCACTTGGTTCCCTTGCGATGAGTAAGAGACGTTCACTTCGCACAGGCCCAGGAACCTCAGGACATTTTGGGGATCGCAAGAAGAGAGGAAGTCACTGAAACCAATAGGATAGCAGGACCTTGGCTAGGCTTCCAAGGATGGAGAGACATTCAAAAAAATAATTAATCACTCTTTTATTAATTATTTGTGCTGCTGTAATAAAATATATGAGACTGGGTAATTTATAAAGAACAGAATTTATTCCTCACAGTTCTGGAGGCTGGGAAGTCCAAGAGCAAAGTGCCAATAGGTGTGATGTCTGGTAAGGGCTCAGTCTCTGCTTCCCGGATGGCTATCAGAATGCTGCATATTCTGGAGGGCAGGAACACATGTGTCCTCACGTGGTGTAAGAGATGGAAAGGAAGCTAGCTAGTTCCCCTGAGCCATTTTATAAGGGCTGTCATCCATTCATTACAGCAGAACCCTAATGACCTCATCACCTCTTAAACGTCCCACTTTTTTTTTTTTTTTTTTTTTATGAGACCAGAGTCTCCCTTTGTCACCCAGGCTGGAGTGCAGTGGTGTGATCTTGGCTCACTGTAACCTCGCCTCCCGGGTTCAAGCGATTCTCCTACCTCAGCCTCCCAAGTAGCTGGGTCTACAGGCGCCTGCCACCACACCCGGCTAATTTGTTGTTGTTGTTGTTGTTGTTTTTGTTGTTTTTGAGATGGAATGTCGCTCTGTCGCCTAGGCTGGAGTGCAGTGGTGCCATCTCGGCTCACTGCAAGCTCCGCCTCCCGGGTTCATGCCACTCTCCTGCGTCAGCCTCCGGAGTAGCTGGGATTACAGGCACATGCCACCACACCAGCTAATTTTTGTATTTTTAGTAGAGACGGGGCTTTGCCATGTTGGCCAGTCTGGTTCTTGAACTCCTGACCTCAGGTGATCCTCCCGCCTTGGCCTCCCAAAGTGCTGGGACTACAGGTGTGAGCCACCGTGTCTGACCCGGAGTTTTATTATTACTCCAATCAGTCTCCCCGAGAATTCGGGAACTGGAGTTTTTAAGAATAATTTGCTGCCTGTAATTCGTGGTGGCTCACGCCTGTAATCCTAGCACTTTGGGAGGCCAAGGCGGGCAGATTGCCTGAGTTCAGGAGTTTGAGAACAGCCTGGGCAACACGGTGAAACCCCGTCTCTACTAAAATACAAAAAATTAGCTGGGCATGGCAGTGTGCACCTGTAGTCCCAGCTACTCGGGAGGCTGAGGCAGGATAATTCCTTGAACCCGGGAGGTGGAGGTTATAGTGAGCCGACATCATGCCACTGCACTCCACCCTGGGGGACAGAGTGAGACTCCGTCTCCAAAAAAAAAATTTTTTTTGCTGAGTAGGGGGCCAGTGAGTTGGGAGTTCTGATTGGTCAGGTCAGAGATGGTAGTCAAAGCTGTCCTCTTGTCACTGCTAAGTCAGTTCCTGGGTGGGGGCCATAAGACCAGATGAGCCAGTTTATGGATCTGATTGGTGCCAGCTGATGCATCAAGTGCAGTGTCTGCAAAATATCTCAAGCACTGATCTTAGGTTTTGCAATAGTGATGTTATCTCCAGGAGCAATTTGAAGAGGTTTAGAATCTTGCAGCCTCCAGCAGTATGGCTCCTAAACCATAAATCTAATCCTGTGGCTAATTTGTTAGTCCTGCAAAGGCAGTCTAGTCTCCAGGAAGGAAGGAGGCTTGTTTTGGGAAAGGGCTATTGTCTTTGTTTCAAAGCTAAACTGTAAACTAAGTTCCTCCCAAAGTTGGTTAAGCCTAAGCCCAGGAATGAGCAATGACAGCCTGGGGGTTAGAAGCAAGATGGATCTCTTTCATTCTAATATTTTTCTCAGTTATGATTTTTGCTAAGGCAGTTTCAGTATTTTGTTTTAAATTTCAGATTCTACTTGATGATTGCTGGTATATGGGAAAGCAATTAAAATCAGATGACTCCAAGGATTTTGGCCTTAGCAAGAATGGATTTGTTGTTTACTAAGAAAGAAAAGGCTTCTGGCTGGGCATGGTGGCTCATGCCTGTAATTCCAAGACTTTGGGAGGCCGAGGCGGGCAGATCACAAGGTCAGGAGTTTGAGATCAGACTGACCAACATAGTGAAACTCCATCTCTACTAAAAATACAAAAAATTAGCTGGGTGTGGTGGTGGGCGCCTGTAATACCAACTACTTGGGAGGCTGAGGCAGGAGAATCTCTTGAACCCGAGAGGCGAGGTTGCAGTGAGCCAAGATCGCACCACTGCACTCAGCCAAGGTGACAGTGCAAGACTCCGTCTCAAAAAAAAAAAAAAAAGGAAAAAAGAAAAAAAAAGGCTTCCAGTAGAATTCTGTAGGGGGAGAATATAGGAGTTGAATTAAATTTGAGACATCAAATAGACAGCCTTTTAGATGCTAACCTGAGTAAGCAGTTAGATATTAGAGCGTAGAACTTATGGGAGGGGTTCAGGCTTCAGATAAGAAATTGGGAGTGGAAATATATGGATGCTTCCCCGGGCGCAGTGGCTCACGCCTGTAATCCCTGCACTTTGGGAGGCCACAGCAGGCAGATCACCTGAGGTCTGGAGTTTGAGACCAGCCTGGCCAACATGGTGAAACCCCATCTGTACTAAAAATGCAAAAATTAGCTGGGCATGGTGGTGCATGCCTGTAATGCCAGCTACTTGGGAGGCTGAGGTGGGAGAATCGCTTGAACCTGGGAGGCGGAGGTTGCAGTGAGCTGAGATCGTGCCACTGCACTCCAGCTTGGGTGACAAGAACAAAACTCCATCTCAAACCAAACAAACAAACTATATATATATATATATATATATATATAGAGAGAGAGAGAGAGAGAGAGAGAGAGAGAGATGCGACTTAAAGTGATGAGCCTCATTGTGTGATCACCAAGTAAATGTAGACAGAGATAAAAAGATACCTGTAAGGTCAGCCAAGAGAGAGGAAAAATAGACCCAAAGTCAGGGGAGTAAGTTTTTCTTTTCTTTTCTTTCTTTTTTTTTTTTTTTTTTTTTTTTTGAGACGGAGTTTCGCTCTTGTTGCCCAGACTGGAGGGCAATGGCATGATCTTGGCTCATTGCAACCTCTGCCTCCCAGCTTCAAGCAATTCTCCTGCCTCAGCCTCCCGAGTAGCTGGGATTACAGGCATGCACCACCATGCCCGCTATAGGCGAGCAAGTTTTTATTAACCTGCTGGTTGCCCCCTTAACAGTCAAGGGAAGCAGCACCAAGCTTACAGAATGAGGGGTTTATGTTGGGGAGGGGAGTTTGAGGGAGTTCTTTGGTATGGCCATATCCCAGGGTTGTTTGCTGGTTAATTTTGCCACATATCACTTTGTGACGTTTATTATAGGAGGGTGTAGGTAAAGTTTGTTTATGCTTCCCATGACCTCCCCCTGTGCGGTCTGGATGGTTTGTAATTGGGGTTTGCTTATCGCAGCAAGGTCTGATAAGTGAAGTCTGCTGGCTTCACCGCGGCAACTGTGTAAGGGCTTAAAAATGTAAAGAGCCTTGGGGAAGGGTAGGTGGCATTGGAGCCTCATCACACAATGAGGCTCATCACTTTAAGTCGCATCTATATATATATATATATATATATATATATATATATATATATATAGTTTGTTTGTTTGGTTTGAGATGGAGTTTTGTTCTTGGCATGGAGAACTGCACAGCATTGGAGGAGGGGTGGGCAGCACAAAGAAGCTTTCTTGGGGCAGTTTGTCCCTAACATTCCAGCCTTTTAATAGGTAATAGAAGAGGTTGTCATCTGGCTGCTTCTTAAGTGGAAAGGGGCGACGGTTGTGGGGGAAGGCTGGACGGTAGGGACTGCCATTCTTGGAGCCGTTGGTATTCCTGGAGCAGCATCGTATCATGTACTGTCCCGTGGGTGAAGGCGCTGATACGGTCCTGTAAATGCTGGGTGAAAAGGCATAGGAGACAAGGGCCTAATGCTACAAAAAGAAGAATGGTTATGGCTGGGCTTAGGAGTGGCATTAGCCGTGGAAACCAGGTACTAAAGGACTGGGAGGGCCACGCTGGCCATTGCGGGATGTTTTATTTAATTTTTTGTGCTTGGTCCTTTAGTATTTTTACAGCTTGTACTAAGCCAGATTGGTTAAGATAAAAGCAACACTGTTCATCTAGAAAAAGGCAGAGTCCTCCTTTTTCGGCTGTGAGTAGGTGTAAGCCTCTGCGGTTTTGAAGAACCATCCCCGCTGAAGAATCTATTTGTGATTGGAGAGTTGTAATGGATTTGGCTATCTCTTCCAAGCTATCTGTGGTCTTTGGAGAGGGACTGGTAATAGGAAACAGAGGTGGTTAATCCTATAATCCCAGTTCCAACTCCTGTAGTTATTCCAATGGCTACTAACAGAGGTATGAATTGTATAGCACGGCGGTGTCCGATAGAGGTATTAACTGGGATTGGTAGGGGTTGGTCTCCTGGGGCAACGTTGATTTTTGGAGTGAGGAAAACCAGGGTGCAGGTGCCCATCCAGTCAGAGGGAAGGCAAATATAAGTTGAGGTACCACGTAGGAAAACTATGCCTTAGCTTGGTAGACAGAGCTGGTTGTGTATGCTAAAAAGATGTATTATTTTGTTATTCTCATGCATCCATACTCCTAGAGTCCTGGCTAGGGCTGCTGCTGTAAGTGGTTGTAAAGGGGTGTTTGGTTTAGGCCGGGAGGCTTTTGAGTTCTTTTTTCCTAGTGTAAGAGGAAGCGTTTTGTATCCACTAAGATCCATGTGGGAGTGTTGTTGAATGTTAGGATAAGGAGACAGTCGCAGGTGGTGGGTGCAGGAATGGTGCATGGAGAGGGGAGCCAAGGGAAGAGGAATAAACAGGGGAGGTGTCGGCTGTTACAGTACTCTGAATTTTTATTAAGGAGGTGGGAGGTGTCAAGGGCTGGGGGGCTAGAGAAACGTGCCTGTCTTTATTGTTGGCGGCTCTGAGAGTAGTATGTTCAGTGGAAGGTTTGAGTTGTAGGGTATAGTTTGGAATTCAGGTGGCCGAGGGGAATGCCAGAGGGTAGATGTCGTTGGATGCACAGTGGTGCCGGATAGGATAAGATTGTGTGGGTTGTTATGGCTCCTAATATGGGTTTATTATGGCTGCGGTAGGGGGATAGGTTGAGTAAGTAGGGGTGTAAGGTTGTAACAGCTGGAACTCGCTAGCTAACGTGGGGGAGATTTCTGTTAATGCCTGCATGTCAAGTTCGAGGGGCTGTTAATGAGGATTTCGGGATGGTAGGTTACATGGGTGCAAGTCAGTTATAGGCTGAGGCAGGGATTGCATTGTATGTTGTGGTGAGGAGGGGTACGCAGAGCCAGCAGTCTCTTGTCAGGGAGGAATTGGAGTTTTTTAGTAAGGAGTGTGTGAGATTAAGTGTTCTGTGTAGGTGTTCAGGGGTTATAGGTATTGGTTGGGCTGAAAGAAGGGTTGAGGTATTGATTCTGACATGGGTTAGAAAGGCAGAGAGTGAGCAGAAAAGTAAATAGTTCGGTTTCACCAGAGTGAAGCCATAGAGAGCCTTGGAAGAAAAGGTCAGTTATCCACTCAAAAAAGGTTCCCAGGGTGTTGTTCCATGGGCGGAACCGGGAAATATCTTGTGAGAGGGAGTGAGGAAGAGAGTGAAGCGGCAGGATAGACAAAAGCAGGGCATCTAGGGAGGATGTGGGAATATTTGTTTGTTAGTGATTGTGATTCCTGCTATAAGGATAACGATTAGGCAGAAGGCTCAAGTGAGGGAGACTTCTTGGCTGGTATTCCAATCGAAAGGAGTTACACTATATAGGATAAGTACTATAATGCCTGCAATTAAGGTGTAATAGAGTGTTTCCATAAAAGGAGGCTAGTTGTAAGAGTAGTTTAAACCTGTTTGAGACGGATGGATTTACTGATGTGAAGTTTCTTCTGGGATGGACGTGAGGCAGAGTCAGGTTGGCCCGAGGAATGGGCTGGAATACCGGTTAGAAGTTGGCGAAGTGCAGGTCGGTGGATTGGCGGTGGGAGCTCTCTTTAACCTGCAAAGGTGATACCAGGAGGTATGTCCTGAGAGTTTGGCTGCAGTAGGCGTTGTAAGGATGACCTGGAAAGGGCCTTACCCTTTTGATTAAAGGCTGGTTGGGTTAAGGGTTTTTAGGAAAACATGTTCTCCTGGTAGGAGGGTCTGGTCAGTGGCGCCTTTATGGGACCACTGGCAGACTTTTTGGGAGGGCCTGGTCTGCCTGTTTGCGGAGGAGATGGTGGATGAGGGAGAGTGTTGGGAGGTATTCTCCTAAATGAGAATCAGAAGGAGGCCTGTTTTGTAAGAGGAAAGGGCATCCATACATTAATTCAAATGGGCTGAGGAAGGAGGGTGCCTTTGGGCTGGCTCTGATGCAGGCTAGAGCTATGGGTAGGAGGGATGTCCAGGGCCTCTGGACTTCTAGAGTGACTTTGGTCAACTGAGTTTTAAGGATTCCATTTGCCCTTTCAACTTTTCCTAATGATTGGGGTCAATATGGGATATGGAGGCACCACTGGACACCAAGGGGCTGTTGGATGATTTGGGAAATGAAGCCAGGGCCATTTTCTGATTGAATGGAGTGAGGGAGACTAAACCTAGGGATGATTTCTGTGACAAGGATCTGGGAGACTACTGTGGCTTTTTCTGAAGAGGTAGGAAATGCCTCCATCCACCCAGAGAAAGTGCCTATAAGAGTGAGAAGGAATCTTGTGTTTTTGACAGGAGGCATGTGGGTGAAGTCTATTTGCCAGTGTTCCCCTGGGAGCGTTCCTCTTAGCTAGTGTGCAGGAACAGATGGGGAATGGAGGACTCCTTGAGAGGAGGTTACAGAGCATATACAACAATTTGAAGTTATGTTTTTTAGTGAGGTGAACAGGTGAGGGGAGAAGAAATACGGGTGCAGGAGGAGATACAGGGGACATGCACCAATATGGAAGGATTGGTGGAGGGATGTCAGGATTTGGTCAGTTTGTTCCTGGGGACAGGACTAGCTTCTGGTCCTTAACTATCCAGTCGCCCTGGAGGAAGACTCCTTATTGTAGTAATAAGGTCTTTTCAGTAGGGTGGTATTGAGGTTGGATTGCAGGGGTAATGAGGAGGAGGGAGGCAGGAGTGGAAGAAAGGAAGGCTTCTTTTGCTGCCTCATCAGCCTTTCTGTTCCCTCTTGAGATTTTATATGTTCCCGTTTGATGTTCCTGACAGTGTATAACTCCTGCCTCAGTTGGGAGATTTGTGGCCTGAAGGAGTTGGTAAATAAGGGGGCTGTCAGTGATAGGGGTCCCTTTGGCAGTAAGGAATCCCCTCTCTTGCCAGATGGTGGCATGGGAATGAAGAATGTGATATGCATATTTGCAGTCTGTGTAAATGTTGACTCGTTTGCCTTTGGAAACGGTTAGGGCTTTGGTGAGAGCTATGAGTTCAGCTTTTTGAGAGGAGGTTCCTGGAGATAGGGGCTTAGCTTCAGTTGCTCAGTCAAGGGAAACAACTGCATACCCAGCAGTTTTGGGGGAGCCAGTGGGCCAGGAAGAGGAGCCATCTATAAATAGCTGGTCATCAGGATTGGTGAGAGGCTTGGAGGAAATGTTTGGAAAGTATGGTTGCAGGTGATCTAGGATGTCAGTGCAAGAATGAGTAGCAGGGGAAGAAGATACAGGGAGTAAGGATGCTGGGTGAGGAAAGCACTTTTGGCAAGACTAAATTCAGGATTTTTGATAAAGAGTATCTGGGGAACTAGCTCCCAATATTTCAACATAGGTTCTTTCTATTTTTCTAAGTGTCGGCCGGTCTGAGAAATAAAGAGAAAGAGTACAAAGAGAGAAATTTTACAGCTGGGGTCTGGGGATGTCATCACATATTGGTAGGACAGTGATGGCGACCCCAAGCCACAAAACCAGCGAGTTTTTATTAGGGATTTTAAAAGGGGAGGGGGTGTAGGAACAGGGAGTAGGTCACAAAGATCACATGCTTCAAAGGGCAATAAAGGTCACAAGGCAAGGCAAAATTAGAATTACTGATGAGGGCCTATGTCCCACTGTGCACTCATTGTCTTCATAAACATCTTAACAGGAAACAGCGTTTGAGAGCAGACAACCAGTCTAACTAGAATTTACCAAAATGGAATTTCCCAATCCTAGTAAGCCTGAGGGTACTACAGGAGACCAGGGCGTATTTCAGTCCTCATCTCAACTGCATAAGACAGACACTCCCAGAGCAGCCATCTATAGACTTACCCCCAGGAATGCATTCCTTCCCCAGGGTCTCAATTATTAATATTTCTTGCTGGGAAAATAATTCAGCAATATTTCTCTTACTCACACGTCTGTCTAGAGGCTCTCTGCAAGAAGAAAAATATGGCTGTGTTCTGCCTGACCCCACAGGCAGTCAGACCTTATGGTTATCTTTCCTTGTTCCATGAAAATTACTGTTATTCTGTTCTTTTTCAGGGTGCACTGATTTCATATTGTTCAAACACACATATTTTACAATCAATTTGTACAACAGTGGTCTTGAGGTGACGTACATTCTCAGCTTATGAAGATAACAGGAATAAGAGAATAAAGTAAAAACAGGCATAAGAAATTATAAGAGTATTGACTGGGGAAGTGATAAATGTCCATGAAAATTTCACAGTTTATGTTCGGAGATTGCAGTAAAGACAGGCATAAGAAATTATAAAAGTATTAATTTTGGGAACTGATACCTGTCCATGAAATCTTCACAATTTATGTTCTTCTGCCTTGGCTCCAGCCCGTCCCTCCATTCGGGGTCCCTGACTTCCCGTAACAAAAGAGGGCATGGAGTAATTGAATCCGGGAAGGAGGAAGGGAGCCTAATGCTCGGGAGGAGAGGAGATCCTGTAGATTATGAGGACTGTAGATGGCGGTATGTTGACTAAATGCTAGTTTCCTGCTTTCTAGAGCTAAAACGGCTGCTGCTGTAGCGCTCTAAGACAGGTTGGCCATCCTCTAACTGTGTTGTCTAATTGTTTAGAGAGGTAGGCTACAGGGGCAAAGGAAGGAGGGTCTCCTTTCTGTTGCCCTAAGACACCAAGGGCTATTCCTCAGCTTTCAGCAGTATAGAGAGTGAAAGGTTGGGAGATGTCAGGTAAAGACAGAGCTGGTGCAGTGACAAGAGCGGTTTGAAGTTTGCAGAAGCTGGGGAGTATGTTATGCGAGGGATTTAGGGGCTTACTGAGAGGGCCTTTGGCTGCTTCATAGAGGGGGTGAGCTAGGAGGGCAAAGTTGGGAATCCATATTCTAAAAAAGCCTGCCAGTCCTAGGAAGGAAAAGACTTTCCTTTTGGTGGAGGGCGGGGACAGATTATCTATTAGTGCCGCTCGGGCGGGGTCATAGCCTGGTCCCCAGGGGAAAGTTGAACTCTTAGGTAAGTTACTATGGGGCTGGAAAGTTGAGCTCTGGAGGGGGAAACTCTATACCCTTTGGTGGCGAGAAAGTTTAAGAGAGAGACTGTGTGGGTTTGAGAGTCTTCTAGAGACGGGCTGCAAAGGGAAAGATTGTCCACCTATTGAAGAAGATGGCTGAGGGAAAGGTTTAAGGAGGTGAGATCTCAAGCTAAAACTTGTCCGAAGAAATGAGGGCTATCTCTGAAGACTTGAGGGAGGACAGTCCAGGTGAGTTGTTGTGATTGGAGGGTGTCAGGGTCGGTCCAGGTGAAAGCAAAGAGGTTTTGGGAGTCAGGGTGCAGGTTAATAGTTAAAAAGGCATCTTTTAGGTCAATAGCAGTGTAGTGGGTGGTGTTGGAGGGAATGAGAGGGAGAAGTGTATAGGGGGTAGGGACTGTGGGATGAATAGGAAGGATGGCCTGATTGATGGCTTGGAGGTCTTGGACGAGTCGGTATGAGCCATCTGATATTTTAACCGAGAGGATGGGGGTGTTATATGGAGAATGTGTTGGCCTAAGAAGACCACATGAGCAGAGCTTGTGACGGGCTGTGAGCCTTTTTGGTGGGTTAGGGAGATGGGGTATTGGGGCACATTGAGAAATTTAGAGGGGTCTTTTTTTTTTTTTTTTTTTTTTTTTTTTGAGACGGAGTCTCGCTTTGTCGCCCAGGCTGGAGTGCAGTGGCCGGATCTCAGCTCACTGCAAGCTCCGCCTCCCGGGTTTACGCCATTCTCCTGCCTCAGCCTCCGAGTAGCTGGGACTAAGGCGCCCACCACCTCGCCCGGCTAGTTTTTTGTATTTTTAGTAGAGACGGGGTTTCACCATATTAGCCAGGATGGTCTCGATCTCCTGACCTCGTGATCCGCCCGTCTCGGCCTCCCAAAGTGCTGGGATTACAGGCTTGAGCCACCGCGCCCGGCCAGAGGGGTCTTTTAACTGGATTTTGATGGGGTCATGGTGAGCAGATAGGGAAGGGGTGGTGGTGTCCCACATTACTGGGTTTACAAGAGACGTGGGAAGTGGGTACTGGGGAGAGGGCTCAGGGGCCAGACTAGTGAGGAAGAGTAGGAGAGACTCTGGTTGAGGAAGGGAGAAAAAGGTGATAGAAGCTTTGAATCTGGCTAAAATGTCTTGGCCTAGGATGGGGTGGGGGGCGCGTGTAGGGCAACGAGGCATGATAAGGAAAGAGTATGAGAAAACAGTATCAAAGAGAGAGCAAGTAAGGGATCTGGTGGTGCGTGGACTGAAGTGAGATGAGTCTGTCAAGCCCACAACTGAGACCTGGGAGGGATGAGTGGGTCCTGAAAATTTAGGCAAAGCCCAGTAGGTGGCCCTGCTATGGATTAAAAAAGAGATCGGCTTACCTGCTACCAGTAGAGTTACCCTGGGCTCCATGCAGTGATGGCAATGGGGGCCGGAGGCTCTGGGCATCGTCAGTCTTCAGTGGTTAGGCTGAGGACCTGTGGGAGTGCAAGTGATTCTTCATTTTTTGTCTTGTTGAAGGGGTGGTGGCTCTGAGGAGCAGGCTTGTCTGTCCATTTGCTGAGAGGACAGTGGGACTTCCAGTGGCCTGTCTGCTGGCAGACTGGGCAAGGGCTCTTTGGCACTTGAGGGCTAGGACATGCCCGCACCCAGTGGCCTTCTTTGCCACACTTAAAACAAGGCCCAGGAGGGTTGCTGCTTTGTGCCCTTGGGTAATATGACTGGGTTGACGGATAACTGCTGCTGGAAGTTTTTATTTAGCATGATCTCTTTGGGCTTTATCTAATTTATTTTGCTCATCCCTGCTATTAAAGACTTTGAAAGCCAGGTTAAGGAGGTCTTGTTGTGGGGTTTGAGGGCCATCCTCAGCCTTTTTAAATATGCGCCGGATGTCAGGAGCAGATTGGGAAATAAAATGGATGTTAAGAACAATAGAAAAGGCCGGGCGCGGTGGCTCAAGCCTGTAATCCCAGCACTTTGGGAGGCCGAGACGGGCGGATCATGAGGTCAGGAGATCGAGACCATCCTGGCTAACACGGTGAAACCCCGTCTCTACTAAAAAATACAAAAAACTAGCCGGGTGAGGTGGCGGGCGCCTGTAGTCCCAGCTAATGTAGTCCCAGCTACTCGGGAGGTTGAGGCAGGAGAATGGCGTAAACCCGGGAGGCGGAGCTTGCAGTGAGCTGAGATCCGGCCACTGCACTCCAGCCTGGGCGACAGAGCGAGACTCCGTCTCAAAAAAAAAAAAAAAAAAGAACAATAGTTCCTTCCTGGGAGGTAGGATTGACATGGGTATATTTTTGGAGAGCCTCTATAAGGCGAGAAAGGAATTGGGCAGGGTTTTCATCGGCCTTTGGGAGGTTTCTTTGAGTTTTTCGGAATGTACAGCCTTTATGGGCAGTTTTGTTAAGGCCTGCAATGAGGCAAGTAATCGTATGATTACCGGAGGCCGGGCTGGGGTCTGTGGGTTAGTATTTCTGGGTAGGCTCTTCGGTGGGGAGGGGGGGACTGCAGCGGCCCCTACTGGCCTAGTAAGATTTGCCAATGGAAGTCATCCGCATGGGCCTGGGCTGCAAGTCACACTCTTTCCTTCTTTTCCGGAAGGAGGGTAGAAGACAGAATAATATAGGGATCATGCCAAGTAAGTCAATAAGACTGAGTGAGATATTTAAATTCTTTGATGTAAGTGTCAGGATCGGAGGACAAGGACTCCAGACGTTCCTCAATTTGGGAGAGATCGAAGAGGGAAAAGGGGACGTGGAAACGGACAATCCCTTCGGCCCCTGCCACTTCCCGGAGAGAAAGCAAGGGAGCGGGCTGCTGGGCATGTTGGGCTCGAGAATGAGTAAGGGGTGGAGACGGGGACGACTCAGAGTCCGGGGAGGACTCAGAGGCGGTATGGTTGGAGAGAGGGAGGTAGAGCCAGAGTGGAGGCATACGGTGGGGGGTCATGCTGTTCTGGTGGAGGATTAGGATGTTGTGGAGGAGGGGAAAAATCAGCGGGATCAAAGGAGGAGGAGTCATCCGCTGGGGCTATTGGGGTGAGGGGAGCAGGAGGTGAGTGGACTTCGGAGCGTGCGAGGAGAATTTGAAAAGTAGAGCAAGACTGGCAGACGGGAGGACGACTACGGAGAGTAGAGAAAGCCTGAACATAAGGAATCTCAGACCACTTCCCATTGCTGTGGCAAAAGTTGTCTAAGTCTTTGAGCACGTTGGAGTTGAAAGTGCCATTTTCGGACCATTGGGAGTCATGGTCTAATTTGTATTGAGGCCACGCTGTATTACAGTAAAAGATAAGCCTTTTAGGGCGGATTTCTGAACGAAGGCCAAGAGTATTGAGATTGCATAGGAGGCACCCAAGGAGGGTAGTTTTAGGAGGAGCAGATTGAGAGGCTCCCATAATGAATGGAAGTAGGGGGGCCTGTAGAGGAAGAAGAGACTGCCGGTGACAAGGACGTGGAAGAGGGCGTCCCCTTTCCCACGTAACTTGTCCGGAATAGAGAAGGTAACCGCCGTGTCAAGCGTCCCTGAAACAGAGGAACCAGAGGCCTGGAGGCCAGGGGAAGCCCTTGACCCAGCGCTGGGTCTTTCAGAAACGGAGAGACAAGGGTTTTGGGGAACGGCAACAGTCTCTTTTTACTCACCCTGGCGGAGGCTTTGATGGTGGATGAAGTCGCCAGCAATGGGAGAGTCTAGGAGATTCTCTGGGTCTTCAGCAGGTTCAGGGAAGGGGGAGAGACTGGCCCGGAGAGGCGTGATGGGGAGGGAGGGAGGGAGGGGGGGGGCGGGGGGGCAGCCAGCCAGAATCTATCCCCTTCGCAGGTTTCGGCACCAGAATGTAAGGTCAGTCATGAGAAAGGAAAAATAGACCAGTTAGGTGAGCAAGTTTTTATTAATCTGCTGTCTGCCCCCTTAACAGTCAAGGGAAGCAGCACCAAGCTTACACAATGAGGGGTTTATACTGGGGAGAGGAGCTTGAGAGAGTTATTTGGTATGGCTGCATCCTGGGATTGTTTGCTGGTTAATTTTGCCACATATCACCTTGTGACGTTTATTACAGGAGGGTGTAGGTATAGTTTCTTTATGCTTCCCACAACCTTCCCCTGTGTGGTCTGGATGGTTTGTAATTGGGGTTTGCTTATTGCAGCAAGGTCTGATAAGTGAAGTCGGCTGGCTTCACCGTGGCCTTTGATAAGGACTTAGAAAGGTAAAGAGACTTGGAGAAGGGTGGACGGCACAGAGAAGAGTTCCAGAGCATTCGGGGGAGGGGTGGGCAGCACCAAGGAGCTTTTTTGGGGCAGTTTGTCCCTAACAATATCCAAGGACTGAGAACTGAGGAGAGCAAAGATCACCTGGTGGCTATCAAGCGGACCATCCAGAGGCAACACTCCTTATCTGAGGAATTCATGAGTAATTAGACTTCTTTTTTTTTTTTTTTTTTTTTTTTTGAGAGGGAGTCTTGCTCTGTTTTCAGGCTGGAGTGCAGTGGCACAATATTGGCTCACTGCAACCTCTGCCTCCTGGGTTCGAGTGATTCTCCTGCCTCAGCCTCTTGAGTAGCTGGGATTACAGGCATGTTCCACCATGCCCAGCTAATTTTTTATTTTTATTTTTAGTAGAGACGGGGTTTCACTGTATTAGCCAGGATGGTCTTGATCTCCTGACCTCGTGATCCGCCTGCCTTGGCCTCCCAAAGTGCTGTGATTACAGGCATGAGCCACCGCACCCCGCCCAGACTTCCCTATTATCTAAAGCCAGATTCTGGTACCAAGCTTCTTTACAAAAAACGTATAAGTAACTATGTAGCAGGACGAGCTGCAGACAAAACTCCTCAGACACCAACCGGGTTAAAGAAGGAAGGAGCTTAATTCTGTCGGGAGCGTCGGCAGACTCACATCTCAAAAAACCAAGCTCCCCAAGTGAGCAATTCCTGTCCCTTTTAAGGGCTTACAATTCTAAGGGGGTCCACATGAGAGGGTTGTGATTGATTGAGCAAGCAGGGGGGCTTGCATGCACCAGTAATCAGAATGGAACAGAACAGGACAGGGATTTTCACAATGCTTTTCCATACAACGTTTGGAATCTATAGATAACATAACCAGTTAGGTAAGGGGTTGATCTTTAACTACCAGGCCCAGGGCATGGTGCCGGGCTGTCTGCCTGTGGATTTCATTTCTGCCTTTTAGTTTTTACGTCTTCTTTCTTTGGAGGCAGAAATTGGGCATAAGACAATATGAGGGGTGGTCTCCTCCCTTAAGTAGAATTTCTATACATCTCTGGAATGTATGCATGTTGAAACTCATTGTGCAACCCTTGCTGACATCATGGCACCAAAATGTCTACAGACGTAATCATTTATCATGACATGTGTGGGTAAGATGGTCCAAATTATCCTTAGGCTCCCACTTTAAGGTCCATAAATACTCCTGAGTAAAATCCACCATGTGGCTCAGTCCTCTCTTGCTGAAGCGCCCTGTTGCAGTCTGCTGCAATGTGTTATCTAATATAACTTTCCTTTTCAAACTTATCCTGTTATTGGTAAATTCTTTTACCACCTGCAAGCCAACTAGTCTCTGCTGCTGGGGCTCTGATAAGGCCACTAAGAACTAGTCCTCAAAAGCCGGGTGCAGTGGCTCACGCCTGTAATCCCAGCACTTTGGGAGGCTGACGTGGGTGGATCATGAGGTCAGGAGATTGAGACCATCCTGGCTAACATGGTGAAACCCCGTCTCTACTAAAAATAAAAAAAAATAGCTGGGTATGGTGGCGGGCACCTGTAGTCCCAGCTACTTGGGAGGCTGAGGCAGGAGAATGGCGTGAACCCGGGAGGCAGAGCTTGCAGTGAGTGTAGATCAGGCCACTGCACTCTAGCCTGGGCAACAGACGGAGACTTTGCCTAAAAAAGAAAAAAGAAAAGAAAGAAAGAACTAGTCCTCAATACTATTAATTCATGTAGAAGAGAAAGACTCAGAATAAATGGCCAGTGAAGTAGCAGAAGGACCAGGTGTTTCTCTGTATTTTGATACACTGATGACTTAGGGCCTTGTGAACCCTTGAAGGATGGCCCCTCTCAGTGTTAGCTAATTCCCAGAGACAGTAAATAGCACTTTGGGGATTGTGCCTTTCAAATACAAACCAACAGAGTGTGCTCCCTCACCACCTTCTTCATTGAGCTCTCACACTCCGGCCACTGTTTTCCCACCTTAATCATTCAAGGACAAAGTAACCTGACAATTAGGGACAGCCCTTATGCCTCAGAGCCTGTTTAGCATTTGCTTAACAGCCAATGCTAAGCCTGCTTATCATCCCTTTCCTGTTCCTTCCCATAGAAAATACAGTTAAGGCTGTTACCCACATTTCCCTCTTGCTCCTGCCTCCTGACCAAACTACTACCTTTAAAACACTAGGACATGCCTGTAATCCTAGCACTTCGGGAGGCAGGCAAATCACTTGAGCCCAATATCTTGAGATGAGCCTGGACAACATGGTGAAACCCCGTCTCTACAAAAATTACAACAAATTAGCCAGGTGTTGTGGCATATGTCTGTAGTCCCAGCTACTCAGGAGGCTGAAGTGAAGGATCACTTGAGCCTGGGAGGTTAGGGCTGCAGTGAGCTGTGATAGTGCCACTGCACTCCAGGCTAGGCAACAGAGTAAGACCCTGTCTCAAAAACAAAACAAAACAACAAAACACTAGGAAAGTGTGGTAGTTTTTTTTTTTTGAGATGGAGTCTCGCTCTGTCGCCCAGGCTGGAGTGCAGTGGCCGGATCTCAGCTCACTGCAAGCTCCGCCTCCCGGGTTTACGCCATTCTCCTGCCTCAGCCTCCCGAGTAGCTGGGACTACAAAAAGTGTGGTAGTTTTGAAGTCAAGTGAAAAATTGGTCCTCCAGAAGAAACAACCCACAGAATGGGAGAAGATATTTGCAAACCATACATCAGAAAAGAGCTTAATATCAAAAATATATAAGGAACTCAAACAACTCAAAAGCAAGAAAGCAAATAACCTGATTTAAAATTGAGCAACAGGCTGGGCACAGTGGCTCATGCCTGTAATCCCTTTGGGAGGTCAAGGTGGGTGGATCACTTGAGGTCAGGAGTTTGAGACCAGCCTGACCAACATAGTGAAAACCTCTCTCTACTAAAAATACAAAATGAGCCGGACGTGGTGGCGCATGCCTGTAATCCCAGCTGCTTGGAAGGCTGAGGCTGGAGAATCCCTTGAACTCAGGAAGTGGTTGCAGTGAGCCGAGACTGCGCCATTGCATGCTAGCCTGGGCAACAAGAGCGAAACTCCGACTCAGGAAAAGAAAAAAAAGGGCAACAGATCCAAAAAGACATTTCGCAAAAAGAAGCAGAGGCTCATGATCTAATCATTAACTAAAGGTCGTACCTCTTAACATTGTTGTATTGGGGATTAAGTTTCCAACACTTGATCTTTGGGGGACACATTCAAACCACTGCAAACATTATTCACAATAGCCTCAAGATAAGGAATTGACTTGTGTCCATCAGTGGATGACTAGATAAAGATAATGTGGCATATATGTACACAGTAGAATACTACTCAGCCTTAAAAAGAAAGAAATACTGTCATTTGTGACAATGTGGGTGAACCTGGAGGACCTTATGATAAGTGAAATAAGCCAGGCACAGAAAGATAAACATTACATTATCTCACTTACTTGTGGAATACAAAAAAAGTTCAACTCAAAAGTAAGGAATGGAGGCCAGGCATGGTGGCTCACACCTGTAATCCCAGTACTTTGGGAAGCTGAGGTGGGCAGACTGCTTGAGCTCAGGAATTAAGAAACCAGCCTGGGCAATATAGTGAAACTCAGAGGAGAGGAGAAGGGAGGGGAGCGGAGGGGAAGGGAAAGGAAAAAGGAAAGGAAAGGAAAGGAAAAACAGTGGTTACCAGGGTATGCAGGGGTGGGGGGATTGGGGAGATGTTGGTCAAAGGATTAAAAATTTCAGTTAGACAGGAGGAATAAATTCAGGAGATCTATAGTTAATAACAACATACTGTATTCTTGCAAATGGCTGAGAGTAGATTTTAAATGTTCTTACTAGAATATGATTTGTATGGTAACACATATGTTAATTAGCTTGATTTTGTCATTCTGTAATGTATACATATTTCAAAATATCATGTTGTTTAAAAAAAGAGAGAATTGGCCAGGTGCGGTGGCTCACGCCTATAATCCCAGCACTTTGGGAGGCCGAGGAAGGCGAATCATGAGGTCAAGAGATCGAGACCATCCTGGCCAACATGGTGAAACCCCGTCTCTGATAAAAATATAAAAATTAGCTGGGCATGGTGATGCACGCCTGTCGTCCCAGCTACTTGGGAGGCTGAGGCAGGAGAATCGCTTGAACTTGGGAGGCGGAGGTTGCAGTGAGCTGAGATCGCGCCACTGCACTCCAACCTGGGCGACAGAGCAAGACTCTGTCTAAAAAAAAAAAAAAAAGAAAAAAGAAAAAAGAAAAAAAGGAAGAGAGAGAATTTAGTTCTCAGATAACAGAATGGTTGATTGCTCTAGAAGATGCTGCTGGCAGGTCAAGTGGGATGAGCACTGGGAATTAACCATCAGATTCCATAATTGGATGGCACAGTAAACAGGGAAAACATAATGAAAGTGAAGAGTAAGCTTTAGACCAAACACTTTAAGTGGTTGAACTTTGTCCCCAGCAGGAGAAAGAAGCTCAGCTCCAAATTGAAATTACAGGGGAGATAGCATGAAAATGTCAAGAA